CACGCTGTAGCTGCACTAACACAGAGACATGTAGGAGGAGCTGTATGAAGGCAGCAGACCAAGAAGTGATTTAAAGACGAAGATGTACCCGTGAAAGAGTCTGGGTGAAGTTAATGGTGACCAGTTAACCAGTGAATACAGGGTGCAATGATGGGCACAGTAGTTTCAGCCAGTAATGAATCTTAGTGCACCGTGATAGGCAGCATCCAACATCTGCAGCTTGTAGGAGTGTTCATGTAAATAATGTCACTGTAGTCAAGGGGGGGAAGGAAAATCCCAGTTACAAGACACAAGATGTTATGATCCACAGTGTTTAGACAGGTCTAAGAAAAGTGCAGCACAATAATCTTTAGCATCCAGTGCGTCAACAATGTCATTAAAAACTTTCAGTGAAGCAGTCGTTGTGCTGTGTTGTTTCCTGAAAACAGATTGGTGGGGAGGTAAGATTTAAATGAGTCCAAATACTTTCTGATTTGAGAGTTTATCAGTTTTCCTAGAACCTTGGCTAAAATGTAGGGTTTAGAGATTGGTCGATAGTTGTTCAGTGAGGTGGGGTCACCTCCCTTCAGCAAAGGAAGAATAAAGGCTGTTTCCCAAGCGTCTGGGATGGAGTTTTGGTTTATGGACAGGTTAAAGATGTGGGACACCGGTACTGTGATGATATGAACGGCCAGCCTTAAGAAATAAGGTGGAAGTTCATCTGGTCCTGCAGATTTTTTAGAGACTAGACCTTTTAACAGTTTATTTACCTCACTAACTGAGAACCGAGAACAGAAAAAAGGTGTGATTTACTGAAGATTGACTTGTAGGAGAGATATGGTTTGTAGAAGTTTGACTTTATGCCCCCTCAATCAGACCACTTCTGTTGTGTCTTGAAGACATCAAAGCCTGGATGTCTTGAAACTTCTTAAATTTCAATGAAAATAAAACAGAGGTGATGGTGTTTGGTCCTAGTGGCCCCTGTGAACCTTTTCCTGTGGATCTGGGCCCTCTGGCACCACATGTAAAGAAAACTGTTTCTAACTTGGGTTTTAAAATGGACAGTGATTTTAAATTAGATTCCCAGATTGGAGCGGTGGTCAAGCCCAGTTTTTATCACCTCAGACAGCTGGCTAAGGTAAAGTTCATTCACACAAAACAGCAGCTGGAAACAGTAATCCATGTCTTTGTCACCTCTTGGCTGGATTACTGCAGCACTCTTTACCTTGGAGTCAGCCAGTCCTCCCTCAGACGTCTCCAGTTGGTCCAGAAGATGCTGCTCGGCTTCTAACCGGAGTTCAAAAGAGGGAGCACATCACCCCCACCCTGGCTTCACTCCACTGGCTGCCTGTTTTGTTTTAGAGTTCATTTTAAGATTATTTTATTTGTTTTAAAAAGTTGAAATGGTCTTGCTCCATCCTACCTCTCTGAGTTGCTTCACCCATACTCTCCTGCTCGGTGCCTCGGATCAGCTGATCAGCTGCTCCTGGAGGTGCCGAGGTCTAAACGGAGACTCAGTGGAGACAAAGCTTTTTCTGTTGCTGCTCCCAGACTGTGGAACGATCTCCCTCTTCCCATCAGACGAGCCCCTTCACTGTCCAGTTTTAAAACTCTTTTAAAAACACATTTTTACTCCCTGGCTTTTAGCACACACTGAATTTGATCTGTACTGTTTTTATTATTTTTTATTGATCTTAATGTTTTAACAACTGTTTTATGTGCTTAAATGTTCTTGGTTTTATATGTACAGCACTTTGTGGCAGCTGTGGTTGTTTTAAAGGGCTTTATAAATAAAGTATTATTATATTATTATCATTATAAGTGGCTGATTTTCCTTTAGTAACTGTGTCAGTGTTTGTTGAAACAGTTCAGGATCTCGTGCTTTTTTGACACACATTTTTGGGTGATTTACAAGAAAGTTACAATTACAAAAATAATATAGGCAAACTAAACAGGTCATTTTTGAGAAATTAAACAGTTCAGTATGTAGAATATTTTTTGACAAAGGGTTAAATGCAGTCAAACAGCTGTTCTCACAAATATTCTCCTCTGTAGTTGCATTTAAATGCATTGAAGCAACATAGACCAAACGGGAAAAGGACATCTTAAAGAAAACATGGGGAAATTTTAGCAATGATTAAATTAAAATGACACTAAACAAACTAACAAACAAAGCAGTGTTTGATCTTTTAAAATGACCTTACAGTTCATGTTGCTGTTGTTCTTTCGGCTGCTCCTTTCTGCAGGGGTCACCAGGGCGAGTGAACTAGCACACTGTGGCTCTGACCATGAAGCTATACCAAAATGTTGCAAAACAAATCAAGATGTTTCAAAAATGTAGAGTGAAATGAAATATTCCTCACATGTCAGCCCGGTTAATCTGCTGTTAACTTGCTCAAAATGAAACTAAATGCAGTCATAAAAATAAATAAAAGTACCTCACACAAACAAACCAGCTAAATTAGAGGTAAAACACGGAGGAGGAAACCCATTCATGTGGGACTGGCCTGGTTAATTAAGAACTGCATGAATATTTTGAAATCCGATCATTTTATTGTTATACTGTTAATAAAAATCACTATCTACAAGGACTATCATAAATAATTTTATATTTACGTTTGATTTATGGTTATTTAAAGCCTTAAAAATATACTTTTGCATGTTAATTAGTTTAACTTTAATTATTATACTTCTAAGGCAAAAGTATTATTACTATATTCTATGAGATTACAAAAAAAGTAAAATATATGCTTTACAATATCCAATGGAGTTTTAAGCCATAAAATCTACAAACCTGATTTTTATGGAAGAGCAGACATCAGTTCTTGCTTTAAAAACAAATAAGACTAAAGTTCTCTGGTCTGATGAGACTGATTGTTTTAATTGGTCAGCAGATGTTTGTAATCTGACATGAAACAGGAGGCTGAGTTTGTGTTCATGCCTGTATGTGCAACCAGTCATCAATTCACACTAGGGCTCTTTAGCATCATCTGCTGTTTGCTGTGTGAAAGACGGAACACAAGAACAGTTCCACTAAATAATTCAGGTATCTGTGGAAGAGGGGGATTAAATTGGATAAAGGGCTGACAGAAGAGATGAGAAGAGATTTCTGTGATGGGTGAAAGTACAAGCTTTATTTATAGTTAGGACAATAAACCTTTTTCATTGTTAACACTACTGACAGTAAAAAAATATATGTTTAGTGAAATTGTTGACGTGTAAATTAAATTGTATTTAGCTTTTCAGTTTGGGCCCTTGGCATCATAAAGCCTGGATTATTGTCACTAGGACCAGAAGACTTCAACATGGTCCTGTTTGCTGTTCTTCTCTTTAATCTGACAGCAAATACAGGAAACATCCACACTATTTAAAATTTCATAAAAGTCCTAGAATTTAGAGCCTTTTCAAAATGTGGTCAGTACTATAATTTGCGGTATAGCAGATTGCCACTGTGTTAACATTGAGGATTATTGAAGTTTTTGGTGGGTGTCAGATTAGAAGCCAAGCATCTTTTCCTCTTAGAAAGTGAAAGTATTTGCTTTGATTTGGTTTTGTTTCCAGGGAACAGGCTTAAAATCAAATGCTAAACAAATAACCATTGTTTTAAAATAAGAATGAATTTTAGTTCACTGTCAAAAAGCTAGCCTTGTTAAATTTCAACGGCGCGTGCAAATACACAAAATGCGCACAAGGTGGCGCTCCCATTCAAATAAGCAACACAGAAAGACAGCCTTATTTATTTATTTATTTATTTATTTAGGAGCATGTGATTCTGGCTATGGAGTAATTAAATGATACATTTAATTATTATGTATTTATTTATTTAATTTTGTCACAGTCCAACCTACACATCAGGCCTCCAGTTGATATAAAATGATTATTGCAATCGCCACAAGCGCACACATGTAAAAACTCCCCATCAACCAGCTACATTTATTTTGAAGTTATAGTTATTGGTTGCGTATTGACCATTTATTGCAGCTTTAGTTTATTTGTATAAGTTTAAGAAGATAATACTAAACACACTTTTTTTTTAGAAATCTCAGTTTATGCTGTGATTTAATCTGAACACGCTATTCTCATTGTATAAATGTTAACCTGACTCTTGTTTATAATTTATGGTATTATATTAACATAAGAAAGTGGGGCTGCGGTAGCTCGGTGGTCATGCCACAGTCTCATAATCCTGAGAGTTCAAGCCCAACGATTGACAATTGTGTCATGTGAAGTTCACCCTCTGAGGGTTGGGAGAAGTCGTTAAAACAATATCAACACTAGACAAAGGTCTTCAGAATATTTATTTTAAATGTTCTTACACACAGACCCGTTTGAGCTAAATTAAATTTATGTATTTATTTATTCTTTTTTTTTTCATAAAATGCTGGGAACTTTAGCAGTTATAGTGAATCTGTTTCATCTTATGTTGTTAGTCTTTATTGATCATTGCTATAAGATGTGCTTTTGGCCAGTCACCCTTGCAAAAGGGAACTTATTGGTTTTGTATATGCTTAAATAAAAAATAATGAAAAATGAAATAAACAATAAATAAATAAACACAAGGAAAATCTGGCCACAAGATGGCAGTGGGTTTTTCCCAACCTTTTCTTTCTGTCATTCTCCTTCCATTTTTGAACATTATTATTATTATTGTTGTTATTGCCTGGTGGACACATCTGGATTTCTTCCTAAATCAGCAGTTAAAAAACAAACAAAAAAAAAAAGCCAAGATGCTCAGATTATAAAATGTTTAACATTCATATTTGGTTTTGTTTATTTATTTATTTATAGTTGGGTCAACTGAGGTTGCTCCTAAAATTACATCTTGGAAGTTCTCGTGCTTCAAGAGAAAAACAACAACACAGATTTTGACTTATTCATAAAAACTCCCTGGAAAGGAGCGTGTGTGACGCACACGCTTGCTAAGCCCCTCCTCCTCGCCGCTGCTGCGGCTGATCTCTGATTGGACGGAGGAGGTCACGTGGTCAGTGAAACCGTCAGCGTGATGCTGCACCATTGTTCCCTGAGCAGCCGGAAGCTGCGCTCCTGAAGCTCCGCTGAATGCGACAGCTGCGCCGGGTGCTCCGGTTTCTCTTGGACCGCTTGGGGGGGAACCAGCACCGGGTTGTTTGGCGCTCTGGCGCAGGTGGAGGATTTACTCAGAGGGAAACCAGAACTTGATGGTTAAAGAGGAAAAAAGCTGTGAAGTCCACTTTGTCCTGCGTGGAGCGTCAGCCTGGAACTAGATGAGAATAAAGAAATGAATGGTGAGTCTGAGCAGGCCTGTTTGCACAATGGTTAAAAATTAAACAACATAAAATAAAATGAGATGCTCATGTTTGCTTGTTACATTTTATTTTTCAAAAAAGGTTCGATATTTTTTACAGTTTTTTTTTTGTTTGTTTGTTTGTTTTGTGTTGTATGCTTTGTGCTGCTGTCCATCAGGCCAACTACTCCACCTGACACTTTAATGTGCAACATCTGTAACAACTACTGATCTTAAAATCCAAAGGTTTAAATTATTATTTTTAGTTAGTTAATCAAAGAGCCAGTGATGCATTTCAGAGCTCCTTATTGTTCAGGCTACTTGAATTCAAGAAGGCTGATATAAAAGCAGCTGTGGTGTTATGAGACCACAGGGAGAAGAGAGTCTGGTTTCAGGCAGGGCGAACCAGGGGAGAGGACCCTGGGGGATACCACCAGCTCCCCTTTACCCTCTCTGTTGTCCAAGAAAGGGAACTCGCAGGATAAACATGAAGTTCTGTCCATCATTCGTATGTCCGTGCTGAAAAAGGAAAGGTTTCTCTGACAGAGCTGTTGTGATATCTGTAACGTTACACTATGATTTAGTTCACTTCTAGGTTTTTATTTGTCCATATATTTCTTGCAGTATAACTAATCTGCATACTTTATGCTATTTTTAGCCGTTCATATATCAAAACTTTAGCTCTTTTTTTAGAGATAGGCTCTATGAGTTTTGACTTTTGTAACTTTTATACTTTTCAAAATATTAACTTTGTTTACACAGAAGTACAGTAACATTTCAAGTCCTTCAAGAACATAAATTCACTTTTAGCTAGCCTTTTTTTCTGTTTTCAGTTTTTAGCTATACTCTTCTGCTACTTTTACCTTCCAGATGGCCTTTTAGTTCATATCAAGGTTTTAAAACATTTAGGTAAGCCTTTTGATACAGTAAACTACTTTTGCTACTTTTTTTAGCCACTCTTTGGCTTTCTACCAAAGTAAGGTCAGGTCCTCTGCATGGACAGATTCTTCTTGTTGAAACGTTTTGGCTTTAATCCAGAAGACTTCTTCAGTCTGAGAAGCTGCAACAAACACAATCTTATAAATAGCACCTTCTCATAGTGGATCAACCAGTTTGCTGCTGACAGCCAAAACTAGTTCTTCACATGATAAAGAAGGAAACCGTCCATCTTTAAAGGTGGAGGCCTCCATGTTCAACTCTTCCAATGCTGTTATTGCTCAGCTCTCTCTGTGAATAGCAAGTGGCCATCAGGACAGTAACCATCAGTCGTTAGGCTAATGGTCCTTATCATGCTGCTAGTTTTGGCTGTCACCAGCAAACTGGTTGATCCATCATGAGAAGGTGCTATTTATAAGACTGAGTTTGTTGCAGCTCCTCAAAATGAAGAAGTTTTTTGGATAAAAGATGAAACGTTTCAACAAGAACAATCCGTTCAGAGGACCTGAATTAACTTTGTTAGGTTTTTGTATCTAGATTACTGAGCATGCATCAGGACACTCTTTGGCTTCTTTTTGCTACCCCTTTGCTACTCTTCACTTTTAGCTTCCATTCGGCTACTTTTAGCCCTTTGCTTCTATCAGCATTTAGTTAAGCTTTTATCACTTTTAGTTTCTAGTTAGTGTTTTTTGCAACACTTAGCTAGGGATTTGCTCTTTGTAGCTTTTAGCTAGTGTTCTGCTTTTTTTTATTTTTTTTTCAGCTTCTTCAGCCGAACTGAGCAGTCATCCAGCACACAGCATTCACACGGCATTTTAGCAAGACCTGTATATATTTGCCATGGCATTTTTTGCTCTCAGATGCTACAACAAACGGAATTTGTCTTTTCAGAAATCATGTTTTCCATAATTGCTTTAAATATTTTTAAAAATAGATTTACACTTGCTGAAAGGATTTACACTGTTTGTATTTGTCTTCTTTGTTCTTCCCAGAACAGAAGTGGGCCGTAGCAGTGTAACACATTCAGCTGAAGGTAAGATCAGACCTTGGTTTATCTGTTTGAATGTATTTATATTACCGGTGTGGAGAACTCATTGATATTTTGAATTCATAGCTGCAAGATAAATGGTGTTCAGAGCAGAGAGCTGTTGCTAAGATGCCATAAAGAACCCCCTGATAACAGAACATGATGAGATGTTGGATCAGATGTTTAGTCAGTAAAGATGTATCTGATAAAAAGATGTTCTCTTTGTTGACTCTGCTGTCATAATTGGTTAGTCCTTTATCTGTATTTTTTTATTCCTTTCTATTACTTTCAACCCATTTCAAGATGACTGCCACAGCTAATTAGTATTAGCCAACACATAAATGTCTTTAACTCAGTCAGTTTTATATATATTTTAAAAACAATTCCCTTGGCAATAGTTGAGATTCATTTACAACACATAATGTTGTATCATATGGTTGTACAAGATTGAGAATAATAGCTATAACTTTGTTTTTCCCATCATGGGGTGTCCCCTGGGGGGTGTATCTAGAATGTGAGCAATGGCCACCTCTAAAAGAAATTGGTGGCCCCCTAACTGGTCCCCTTTGGCCAGCCAGTTTTATCTTGAGTCCTAAACTTTTTATTGGTGCATTGTTACTTTCTTCTAGCTGTTTAGGATTAATAGAGCCACATAAGCATAAAAACAAACCTTGCTTTTGATCAATTATGATTTAAAAATATGATTATATTTCATCTAAAATTTAAAATAAAGCTTAAAATCTTGTCTAGCTGAACAAGGACAAGCAGTCTAAAACCAATGGCTTCAACATCAGGAGGCAGGGTCTCAAGAAAATTGAATAGTTTTCATTTGATATTATTTCTATCTTACCATGTGATTCTTGACCTGCCATTGTGTATCTGTTCCTCTCAAACCCAGCCGGTCGAAGCAGATGGCCACTTGTCCTGTGTCTGGTTCTGCTAAAGGTTTCTTCCTCATGAGGGAGTTTTTCCTTTCCACTGTCGCCTTCATGTTTGCTCAAGATGAGATTTCTGTGATGGAGTTAAATTCAAACCAGTCTGCTCCTCAGATCAAGTCTTCCATCCATCCATCCATCCATTATCTTTTACCCGCTTCTTCCATTTTGGGTCACGGGGGTCACCGGTGCCCATGTCCAGCAATCACGTGTGAGGGGCGGGGGGACACCCTGGACAGGTCACAAGTCCATCACAGGGCCACACAGAGACAAACAAGACAAACAACCGTTCACTCTCTCACTCACACCTTGGGGCAATTTAGAGTTACCAGTCAGTCTAACATGCATGTTTTTGGTCTGTGGGAGGAAACTGAAGTACTCAGAGAAAACCCACGCATGCACGGAGAGAACATGCAAACCACCCAGAAAGGCCCCTGGACTGGGATTTGAACCGGCAACCTTCTCGCTGAGAGGCAGCAGCTCTAACATTTGCGCCACCGTGCTGCCCAGATAAAGTCTTAAATTATTATTTTTATATATGAATGTTTCTGTTCAGTGCCCTGAGATGAGTTCTGTTGTGACTTGGTGCTATATTAATAAACTGAATTGAATTAAAACTGAATATATGAGAGGACAAGCTTCAGTAAGTTGAGTAGTTCCTAATAGCCATGCTTTTCTCAGTAAATGTTATCAACAGTAAGTAACAAAATAAAACTTAAGTGGGCAAATGCATATTAGAAGGTAGTTATTTAATTATTGCTTCGTTGTAATTGTCAAATAACCAAACTGAAATTCTGTTTTGGCTTTTAGTTATGGTGTGCCACCCCAGCATTTTCAATGGCCCCCACATGGCCACCCCATTAAAAAATAATTCTGGATGTGCCCCTGCTCCCATCATAAGATGATCTCAGTTTAAGATTCTGGTATGAAAGGCAGCAGGCAAGATATGTTCCTTCAAGGAATAGGTCTTTAAATTAAACAAGTATCAAGACAAAACAAATAAATAAAAATCCTGCTAACCCTCAAAGGCATTATACAAAGATCATATTTTTCTTGCTGCTTTTTCAATTCTTCTTGTGAACTTTACAAGTTATTGGCACATTATTATTCAGCAACATGACCTTTTGCCTTGATGCTCCACCAGCATCTTGTAGAAATAAGCAATGCAGCGTGCAACCACACACCCACTACATGGTCTATTGCTCTGGATTGTGTGTTTTAGGGGAGTGGGCTCTCTCTGCTTCTAACTGTTTGAATTCCCTTCTCAGCCCATCTGTTTCCTCAGACTATCACCACCCAGTCCTCTACTGGGAGCAGAATTTAATTAGTACATGTGGCATAGAGTTGCAGGACACTGAAACATGAAGATGTATTTAAACATAAAAAACAAAGAAAAGCTGTTCCATTAAGCTGCAGGCTTAAGTGAAGAAGTGAGAGAATCACGCCGGTGTTCCACACGTTAGCACAGATGACTCAAGCTTGATAAAAGTAAATGTAGTCCATTAAATATTCACAGGAAAGGTGTCATGGCTTAGCTGCAGCGCCGAGGAGAGTCTCACATCGAGAGGCTAATGTGGGTGAGTCGTCGGCGCACAAAGGTTCACACGCATGGATGAATCCTTGTTGGTTTCCTTCTAAGAGGGAACAATATTTTGGGGTCCTATAGTTTGATTTAGAGGTTCAGAGAGATTCATCAGAAGGTTGAAGGTCTAATTTTAAGTTGCACAGATGCACGGGGGGTTCTAGTTAATGCCAATGAAAAGGATGCTTTTTTGTTTGCCTTTTTTTTAGATATAGATATTACAAAAGATTTTGCATCTATCCAGAACAATTTTGCATCTATCCAGAACAATAGAAACTTTTTTTTTTTTTTTTTTTGTAAAGTCTCTCATTCTTTACTAACATTACAATAAAAACAGAAAAAAAAAATCAAACATTCCTGAAAGTAATTCATGTCGCTCGCTGCCTTGAATCAAACGTTTACGGTGACGATTTTCTGCTAGTGCTTAAAATACATCTTGGGGAAGACTCTCAGCTGCTACCACATTAAGGTTTAGATCAATGTCCATAAAATTATTCAAGTTAAAGCACTTTTTGTGATTTCTAAGTTCACTTGGCTGTGGTGGCCATCTTGCATTGAGCTGACTCCTAAAATTAATCAGTTGTAGGTCCTCTGTGAGTTTCATTATAATCTGTCCAGCAGTTCATGAGATATTTTGCTAACAGACAAACAGGCAATCAATACATAATTGCCCACTGCTGTACAAGAAGGACTGTGATCAAGGAGAAATAAACTAGTGTCACTGACCAGGTTGCTCATTTTAATGTACAAAAAAAAAAAACTCTTAAATGAGATGAGAATTAAATTATGGTCCTTTTTAAAAAAAATAATAATAATTCTCTCTTTCAGTTTCCGCATCATTAAATGTCATTGCTCATTTTAATTGACTCCCCTTTTTTTTCCACACGCTAAGCGTAAGTCGCAGCGCTGATGAAGTCGACAGTCAGTAGGAGTTGAGTGTGAACTAATATCAACCTTTCAGATTACACGGGAGCTTTGTGCGGCTCTGCAGGGTTCTTGTTTCCAATTTAGAAGCTTGTGATGTGACTCTTTTTGTGTGTTTGGCTCCTTCCCGGCTGAGTTGTGCCAGACTTCCACAGTCCAGGATTGAGCTCTTTTGAGATGTTGCCATGACACCTATTTGGACTGTTTGGTCTGTGGCCAAGGTTTTTTAAAAAAGGACACATTTTGCTTGCTTAATGAATTTTATTTTCCATTTCATGCTAAAACTTCCTATAAAAGCTTTACATATAAAGTTCAGGTAAAATATCAGACCAGTAAAGTGAAGAAATTGTGCACTTTTTAACATGAATTATAAAATACAGTATGTAGTCTGCTGTCATTTGGACTGAATGTATTTTGTTGAAGAGATTATGTATCGCAGGAGAGTTAAACATGAAAATAAACGCAACAGCTGAAAACAGCTGAATCAGAATGTTTTCATCAATGTTTCAAAATCTGAACAAGTGACATCTTTCAAAGCTTTTGTTCTCTGCCAACATAGTCCTATATGTCTCAGCATCAAAAGAATACATTTTCTTTTAACCATGTTTTTTACTAACAAAACCATGGATTTGTTGATTATCTAAAGGTCACAGTTATTTCAGAAAAGAAAATCCTGCCACAAAATGGGCCACAGGTCGCTGCTGCTGCCTCTTAAGTGCACTTTCAAATAACCAAATAAAATCTGAGCTATGCAAACCTGACACATTTGCATACTTTTGAAACTTGTAAGATTTGAGACTTTGAAAGCAGCAGTGATTTATCAGTTAGATTATAAGTTAGGTCAAACTCAAGATTTAAGCAATTTCTCTAAACCGATGTTTTCCCAAAAGCTATCTATGACAGGTTAAGTACTACCGTAATTTTTTCTGTATGAGTCACAGTTTTTTGCATAAATTAGCATGCCTGCAACTTACACAGTGAAGTGATGCATTTGTTTTTTCCCCCCATATTTATACCACAATTTTTGGCTGAAATCTGACGATTTCATTCATTTCATGGAAAATATTGAACACTACCATTTTCAGCCACTAGAGGGCCCTTGACTAATATGGCAAGCCAAGTATTTCATTAATGGCAAAAGTGGCTATTAATGAAACACTTGGCTTGCCATACCAAGTCACCTTCTTCTCGCTCCGGAACTCCTGGAGCAAACGTCAAATCATCTGCATTTCGCCGCGCTGCCCAGGTGAAATGCAGCTGATTTAACCATTAAAGTGAATTTATTAAGGAAAAGTTCAACTGCGACACACCTTTACTATACTTTTGAGTAAACAAATAATTGTTTCTAGGTGTTTATCTTGTTAAATTTCAAAGAAATACACAGCAAGTCCTCCCTCTGTGCACTCCCGCAGCCAGGAATAGGCTTTGAAATGCAGCTGATTTGACCAGTAAAGTGCATTTATTTAGGAAAAGTTAAACTGAGACATAACTTTGCTATAATTTAGAGCAAACAAATAATTGTTTTTATGTGTTAATCTTGTTAAATTCTTATTAAAGTCCTCCCA